TCTATCTATCTATCTATCTATCTAATCTTTAGGGAAATGTCTGCTTAAGCACTTTGCCCACATTTGCCTTGGGCTATTTATTTATTTCACAATTGAGTTGTGACATTATATATTTTTTACATTAATCCTTTATCACATATATGATTTGTAAATGTTTTCTTCTGCTCTCCATGTTGCCTCGGTTGATTGTTTTCATTACTACTCATAATTTTCAAAGTTAGATGAAGTACCATTTTTTTTAGTTTTGCTTTCATTGCATATGCTTTCATGTTATATACAAGAGATCATTGCCAAGACCAGTGTTAAGAAGTTTTTCTTCTATGTGTTCTTCTAGGAGTTTTATCGTTTCAAATCTCACTTTTAAGTCTATAATTTATTTTGACTTGATTTTTGTGTATGGTGTAAGATACAGGCTAATTTCATTCTTTTGCTTATGGGTATCTACTGTTCCCGCATACCATTTGAAAAGACTGTCATTTCCCTTCACTGTCTTTTTCCGTACCCTTTCTGCATGTAGTGTCATGTTTGAGTTTGCTTATGAATATAGACAGCTCCTGCTCTATTATTTCATTTTTTCAAAATGTTAAGTGTCAACATTACGAAGAAGTTTAGAATGAGATGCTCGTTTTGGAAAGGTTGAGACAGAGAAGATCCTCAAATGTCAGTTTAGATACTTGGATTCTAGTGTGCATGTAAGTGTAGTCTTCATTTGACTGGGGTCCTGAATATAAATAGAATACATGCTCTCTGCATATTTTTAATCTTTCTTTCTCTTTTCCCCATCAACCCCATATTATGCAAGTGTGATTTAGATGTGATCCTTGTTTGGGGGGAGCTTACAATCTAATTGTAGTTGGGAGAATAAACAAAATAATTCCTTTTATTTTAAAGGAAAACAATTCCAAATGGTGATAAATAGAGTCTAGATTCAGGAGCAAGGCAGCTGATAAGCAACCTGGTGTTTGGTGTGTCATTTCAAGCACTGCAGGGGTTTCAATGGGTTTCTCCTTATCTCCATATGAGGAGAATAGCATGAACCAGAGGTAACCAAGTATGCGGAAGCATGGAGTTCAGAAGGGAGGAAGAAGATCAAATTACTACAAGGAGGAAATAAGTCTATTAGAGTGAAGACAGCAGAGAGGCAGAAGGGTATGCTGTGACTATACAGAAACTTAAATGTCAGGCTAACTTTTAAGTTTTAAATTTCATTTTTATTTAGAAAATCTCTTTTATTCCAATAAGGAAGCCTAATTTCCTGGAAATAACATGTCTTTTTATGACAATATGATCAATAACATTCATTAAATATAATATATATATTAAATATAAGCAATGTATTTACAACAGGTCTAGATGAGTCTTGCATTGTAGAGATGAAGACATGTGAAAAAGAATAACTCATAACTCTAATACCCTTTTTCAAATGTCAGTGTAGAGATATGTACATAAAATAGACAATTCTGGAAAAGGAACTGCTGCCTCGGAGGGGATTGGGGAGTTAAATAAGTTAGGCCTTAAATGATGAAAAGAGTTGACTCCTTTTCGAGTGGGAAGATAGACTTTCCAGAAAGAGATAGGGGGTAAAGGGGGACAAAAATCAAGCCTAGTTAGAAATCAGTGGGAACTTAGGAAACAGCAAATGCTCTCTGATGCTAGTTAGGATGGATGAAAAAGGTGATAGGTGATAAGCTGCAAATGTGGGTTGGTGCCAAGTTGCAAAGGGTATGTGGACAAGGAGGAATCTCCAGAGCTTGTTGGCAGGGAACTGGTGAGAGTAGATGGGAGGTGTGGAGTCAAGTAGTGCAGTCACTGTGTGCTGCTGAGACAGTGGCATTCAGGATGAAGAGGGAGACCTGACTCGGGAGGAATTCTCCTTGAGTAATAAAATTGTCTCTAGCATCTGTGAGCTAGAGACAGAGTGTGCTACACTGGAGACAAAGAATAGATTAGACTAAGTCCCTGGACACTTTGGGGGATTTTAAGAAGCAGATAAGGACTCCCTTGAAGAGAAGTGCTTTCATCTTTTTCTACTAAAAAGTCTCATTTCAAATTATTGGCTTGATTTTTTTAAAAGAGAATTTGGTGAGTCTCCCCAAAGCATGGTGTCTGAAAGCCATTATCACCTTGTGTTTTATATAAAACTTTCACACAGATTCTTGTTTTTATCCCTGACTAACCTTAGTAGTTTCCTTAAACTCTTCACATAGAAAAATCATTAGAGTTGCTTTTTCTTTCTCTTTCAGCTCCATGATTTGTCCAGGGAAGTATTTCCTTTAGAAAGACATTATATACAATTTTAGACTTCCTTATCCCTTCTCACAAAATTATCATTGAACTTGATATTTTCCAGTGTCTGCTTTTATTTACACGGTATAACCTGTGAAGAATTGAACCCAGGGAAACTTAACCACTGAGCCACATCCCAGCCCTATTTATTTATTTATTTTAAGACAGGATCTCACTAAGTTGTTTAGGGCTTGGCTAAGTTGCTGAGACTGACTTTGAATTTGTGATCCTCCTGCCTAAACTTCCCACTGGGATTATAGGCATGTGCCACCATGTCTGGCTTATAAACTGTATTTAAGGACGGATTCTTCAAAGTTCTAAAGACCCATTTCACTGGTCAGTATTGAGTTCATAGGAGCTACCTTGAGCTATAGAATATGTAGGGAAACTAGCTAAATCATCTATTTTTGAGAAAGTAAGAATAGATATTTGGAGAAATTAAGAGGAGAGGAGGAAAAAATATGGTATCTTAACAAAAGCATATTAGAGAGCTAAAAAATCTTTGTTCAGATGTAGTTTTACCTGAGTTACCTCCCTGAATCTATTTGTTCTTCTAAAGTTAAAGTAGTCATTATTCTGTCCTAAACTCTTCCTAACATTTATGGTTGAGGATTAAATACAATTGATGAGATCAGCACTTTGAAAATTAAATGATGCACAAATATAAACTATTCCCTTTTATATCATTAAGTGAGTTGCTGAATATATATTCAAAAATACTACTGATGAACTATATCAGGTTTTACCTTAGTCTCATGATAACCTTATTTACCAATCAGAAGTAGCAATCATTAATGTCAACTTTTTTTTATAAAGGGCACATCTGTGTTATAAAACATTTTTGGAAGCACGATAATGCATTTGGTTCTTCTATAAACTTTATACAGCAAAAATAAGTAAACTCTTCCCATTTTACTGATAGGAAAACTAAGTCAGGGAGATTAAATGAATGGTTCAAAGTCCCATCACTCTGAGTGGTTGGTTTAGCAACTATGTTATCTACAAATCTTTCACAATTTTAAAATCTGTGTTGCTGCTCTTGTGTTTATAGGTCACACATCTTCTTGCCCATTTGACAAAGTCTAAATCTTTACATTTAGAGGAATAGGCTCTTAATTGTTTATCCTTACTTTATCTACATGGTATTTCCTTCTCATTTCTCCCTAATATGAATGGAAGCTTCCAATATCCAATCATTTCCTGCACAAATCCATAACTCTGCAAAATTCCTGCCCCACTAAACTGTCTTTCAGTTCTTTGCTCCCTCAACTTCTGCCCCAAGTGTCAACTCAGGTCCCAGTCTGTGTGAAGCATTTTCTGAGTACTTGAGGCCATGCAGATCTTCCATTTCCGTGAACTTCTGGAAAATAGAAATATATATAGAATGCATATATTACATTTAATTATAGAAGTAAATTATACACTGTATCAGGTTATTCCATATGTCTTAGCTTTTCCTCTACAAGTAGATTTGAAGGTCTTATATTTCTTAAGCAATTTCAGTAGCACAAGGACAATGGAAAGAACACAAAAATAACTAGTTCAAATCTAAATTGAACCAACAATTAATCCTTAAGCAACTTCTAAGATGTATTCTGCACTTTTATTGCAAATGAGGAAACAAGTCCAAAGAGCCAAAGATCCTAATTCAAAAAGGACAGCTAGCAATGAAATCCTGATACACGGAATGTGTGGTCTAAGGCTTGATCCTCTAAAACTTTCAAATGAACGTTTGACTGAAATACAAATACAGTATTGTGTTGTGTTGTGTGTGTGAATGTGTGTGCATCTATACATGTGTGTTTGTGTGTATGTGGTTTATTATCCCAAGTTGAGAGAACCCAGAAAAAAAGAAGCACTCCTGGTTAATGGTAGCTTTTATGTTAATTTATGTGCATCTTATATTCAAAACTGAGAAGACCAAAACTGATGGGGATTTTATCAATAGAAAAGGCGGATAAGGACTTCTAACTGAGTCAGGATATTAAAGTGAACTGCAGAGATATTCACTTATGCATGCAGTCATGAGATATTTAATTCATATCTGTAATACCACCTACAGAGCTTAACTATATGATGGCTTTTTCCCTATATGTAATGCAAATCTTTTCAGAGTAGGGGTAGTGCTTTCTGCTTATGCTCATTTTGTAATCTCAAAAATAACTGAAATAGTGCCAGCAATGTAATTCATAGCAATACCTTGTTAAAAGAAACATAGATTATCTGCTTTATATTTTTCTTGGTGTGAATTTTTTCTCTGGGTGGACATTTGGAGTGCTGACTGTGGTTTTTTTTTTTTTTTTTTTTTGGAGCAATGGGCAACTCAAATATTTAGAGAGCACAAGCCTATTTCCATTTCCTTTTAGGGATGTGTTCATTGTGAGGAGCAGGGATCCTAGTAGTTTAGATTCAAGTGGGGTCCTTAGAGATCTTCTGATCTGACCCCTTTATTTTAGATGAGTTATAAAAGGTTCCTGAAGTTATATGGGCAGTTATTGGTGGTCAGAGATGAGAGGAGAATAAACCAGTTCTTCTTGTTCTTAGAATTTCTGTCTCGCCTGTGTCTCTGTCCCTGTCTCTCTCGTTTTCTTTTTTTTTCCTACCAAATTTCTTTATTAAATCTTCAGTTTTCAAAAGAATCATTGAGAGTAGCAAGACAGTTTATTCAAAAGGTCACTGACCCTTTCTTATCTGTCTTCTTTTTGTTACTTTAGCCCTCTTCAATCTAATTCCTGTGGGCCTGCGTGTGGTGGCCATCCAAGGGGTGAAAGCCAGCCTCTATGTGGCCATGAATGGCGAAGGCTATCTCTACAGCTCAGTAAGTACCTTGTAGTGTGTGTGTGAGTGTGTGTGTGTGTGTATGTGTGTGTGTGTGTGTGTGTGTGAGAGAGAGAGAGAGACAAAACTGACATTGAGAGGTAATGGACAAGCCATTATTCTAAAGAAGCAACTTGAAAGTTTAAGTTATTTTGTGTTTTTGAATCCAGTTTTCAGCGCTATTATAAAGATTTTATAATTCAGATCGTGTTCTATAGCATGAAAAAGAGCCAGGTACTCTGTGTGTTTTAAGTCCTCTGTTTCTGGCTTCCACATCTAGAGGGTACCCTAATCTTTAGAATTTTACCTGTTTAATTCAAGGAAAAGATGTTTTTCCTTTTCTGTTACCCCTGTCTCCAGCACAAAAGATGGCTTAAGAAAGAAAATACTTCAGTCTTCCTGGGTGTAGTATTTGTCCTGTTGTGGAAAATTTTCAGAATAGGTTATGTTTTTGTTTGTGTTTAAATCTGGGTGGCACCTAAAAAGTCATATTTTCAGAACAACTTCTTAATTAAAAAGCTGTGTGACTTTATGGAATGAGCTCTAGATTAGAGGCAGGGATGTTTTGGTAGTATTTGAATTTTAGGTAGTATCTAGATAGCCCTTTGGACAAATCACTTCCCCTTTTTGAATTTCTTTCTGGACTTTTCAAACAAGGGTGTTGGTCACCATCTTGGCTAATGCCCCTTTTGAATCTAAAACTGACAAAATTACATAGCAGCAAGGACCGCATTATGAACCTTGACATATCTTAAAGTTCTTAATGCTATTCTGATTCTTGTCTCACTCTCAAAATAATCAGTTATACATTGAGAGGATATATCTGTACCTAATGTTGTACCACACAATTTCTGGTTTCTTATATGGGAGTTGCCAACTCATGAAAAAAGAAAAGTAATTCCTTAAAAAATCATGTTACAGGGACACAGCCACATTAATGTTTATAGCAGCACAATTCACAATAGCTAAACTGTGGAACCAACCTAGATGCCTGAATGGATTAAAAAAATGTGGCAGATATACACAATGCAATATTACTCAGCAATAAAAGAGAATAAAATCATGGCATTTGCAGGTAAATGGATGGAGTTAGAGAAGATAATGCTAAGTGAAGTTAGCCAATCCCAAATAACCAAATGCCAAATGTTTTATCTGATATAAGGAGGCTGATTCATAGTGGGATAGGAAGAAGGAGCATGAGAGGAATAGACGAACTCTAGATAGGGCAAAGGAGATGGAGGGGAGGGGAGGGGGCATGGGGTTATAAATGATGGTGGAATGTGATGATCATTATTATCTAAAGTACATGTATGAAGACACAAATTGGTGTGAATATACTTTGTATACAACCAGAGATATGAAAAATTGTGCTCTCTATGTGTCATAAGAATTGTAATGCATTCCGCTTTTATATATAAATAAAAATTCATGTAATATATGGATAAAATACCAAAAATGATAAAACAACACTTCAAAAAGCAAATGTTTATTTGCAACCCAGTTTAAGAAATACAATACTCCTATCATTTTATTTGTAAACACCATTCTCCCATCTCATCCCGTTTCCTGACCCTCATCACCATCCCAAGAAACCATTATCATATTTTCTGTATCATTCCTTTGTTACTGAATATGTTTTTTAAAAATAATTACCAAATATGTTTGTATATGTAAGCAGCACATTGTTTACTTTTGGATGGTTGAGTACTGTATATAAATGGAATTGGCAAGTACAGCAACAACAAAAAATCATGGTTGAATATTTCTACCCTTACTTTCTATGATCAATAAATTACATAAGGTTATATAGGAAGTTCACATAAAGTTATATAGGAAGTTCTACTTGACTGTAAACTAGTTATCTAACAGTTTTATTAGGCTCTTTCACTATTCAGTTAAATGCATCTCTGATAAATTTACTTGCTTATTAGTAATATATCTGTCATTCATATTAGAATTAAAGTCATTATAGTTTAAATGTTCCCAACAAAAAGAAATGACAAATATCTGTGATGATGATATGCCAACTACCCTGAATTGATCATTACACATTGTGATTGTGAATTAAAATGTCACACTGTACTCCATAAATATGTCAAATTGCCATATATCGGTTAAAAATAAAACTGTATTTAAAACAAGAATTAAAATTACAATTTTACTCCTGAGCATACTCAGATCTAAGTACACATATATATACTAAAGGAGCACTTACACATTTTTTAGCAGTTACTGCTCAGAATAATATCTAAAGATAAAAACATTTTCAGTAAAATAACAAGCACTCAATTTTAGTGTGTCATAGTTTGAACAATCCTTTGTGTCTAGTTATTGTGAATTCATTTTAAAACCTAAAATCAAAATAAGAAAAAGAAAGATAACATTTTGTTTTGAATAATTACAGAGTTAAGCTATTTAAGGTAAAATTTCAAAAGCAATAAAAGCTAAAACACAGAGATAATATTAATATAGTATTAATTTAATTAAATAGCATTAATTAATTAGTATAGTATTAATTTAAGGACTCAATCAGTCATTAAATAAGCAGCTGAATGTGGTATATATTGTAATATAATAATATAACCTTTATACACAAAGATTACATATATATATATATATATATTTGTATATATTTTATTTACTATTACACATGTTATATTGAAAAGGTCATAATTCAGAAAATAATTACACAAAAACTGTAGAGTTCAAATATTTGTACTAGAGTTAATTTCCAAATGTCCAGGAAGAAGAAAAATTCAGGAAGTCTGACACAGTATTGTAGGCAGGAGACTGTGTCCTTCTGTGTGTGTATGTGTGTGTGTTTGCACACACATGTGCAGAATGGGGGAGCAGTGAGGGGAGTGGTTTTATCCTCTTCAGCTTTTTAAAGAGATGCATTTTTTTTTTCATCCCTCACCTATAGAACTGCAGTTAAGACATAGGGACCTGAAGCCCATAGAGGGAGAGATTAAAAACAAAACAAAACAAAAAAAACCTTTTGAGAATTAGACTGTAGGAGTGTCTTTGTAATGCGGCAAACACCTTTGTAAAGTCAATAATCACTTATTGAGTTACAAGCTTTGGGTACCTAGATTTTTTGGGGTCTCCTCTCCACTTAAACTAGCTTCATAACCAAGAATCATGATGCTTCCCCCGGTGTTATGGATCTGTGATGATACTAGGAATAATTTTTAAGTATAACATCACTGATATTTATCATCAGGGTCTCTGCTTTAAAAAATGATTGTCTTTATGGCTAGGACTAATAAGAGTAAATGCTGTTTTTTAACTTTAAACAAAGGATGAAGCTCTGAAGATTCTTTAATAGGATGTAAGAGGGTCAATATTGGAGGATCAGGCCTCACCACACCTTATACTGCTGCTGCTCCTCTGGCTGGTGTGCCTCAGCAGGAGGGTAGGGCCAAGGCCTTGTGTAGAGTTAAAAATCTGCTGTTAATCTCATCTTTCCTAAGATGTGTTTGGTGTGCACTAAAGCTCAAGGTCACTTGAAAATCAATTTCCTATGTCCTGTGAAAGGCACAGTTGCATACACCAATATGGAACATAAACTGGGTATGTGGAAGGAGGGGCAGTAACTTGGCAAACTGAAGAAGTCCGAAAGAAGCTGAGAGTTCAAGAGGAATTCACAAATGGTACTGTTTACCTAGTGTCATTTGTCTGGTTCATAGAAATTAATTTCCTTGTTACTTTTGGTTTTCTCACTGTTCGTTAGCTTTTCATTGCTCTTACCAAAATACTTGACAAGACCAACTTAGAGGAAGAAAATCTTATTTTAGACTCACAATTTCAGAGGTTAAGTCCATAGTCAGACAATTCCATTGCTTTTGGGCCTGAGGTAAGACAAAACATCATGGTGGATAGGCATGGCAGAGAAATGTCCATGAGTTTATGGGAGCAGAAAGCAGAGAGAGAAAGAGAGATTTACATAGGGAGAAAGGTGCACATGCGCCAGGCTGCCTCCTCCAGCCACATACCCCCTGAAATCACTAGCCAGAATCCATTAGCTATCAATGGATTAATCCAGCAAATGAATTAATCCATTAATGAGGTAAGAGGCCAAATCATTGCAAGAGCTTTGAGGGGGATATTTCAGATCAAAACCATGACACCCTCTTTCACCAAACTATAGGAGAATAGAAGAGAGGTAAAAATGAACTGCTTGGTAGCACAGTACTAGAGTTTTAAGATTCATTTGAAAATTTGTATTTTAATAGGTTGCTGATGTGTCCTGGATTTGTTTTTACCATTGTAGCTTGTATTTTTTCATCTACTTGTGCTTCTCTTCTTTTTTCTATTTTCTGTTGAATTATTAAAGTTTCTTTCCTTTTTAAAAAATTATTTGGCTAGGTTATAAACTTAGGCTTTATTTCTATTTCTTTAGTGATTGCCTTTATTTTTTTAAACATACATTCATAATTACATAGATTACTAAATAACTTTTGTGTTTCTGTCTTCCAAATAGCTCATGGGCCCTAGGATATTTTATTGACTATTAAACACTACCACTCTTTTAGCTAATTTGATGAATTGTTCTCTAAAATAAATGTTATTTTATAGTTAGTCATTAAATCAAATCGTACCAATTTTTATAATAATGTATGTAGTTTTTGCTTGTATGTGTATCTATTTTGGTCTTCTGAATTTACCTTCCTTTTAAGCCATTATCTCTATTGTTTTTTGTGAGGGTCTGTGGGTAGTTAATTCACTTAATCTTGATATCCATGCAAATGTCTTCCTTTCACTTTTACACTTGAATTGCAATTCAAACAATAATAAGATAAAATCCCATTGGCTTCTGGCATCAATTGTTGATGATGGAAAGCTTGCTGTAAGTTTAATAATCTTTGTCGGTAGCCTTAATAGAAACTTAAAAAAAAATGTTTTGTCTTTCTACCTCCTGATCTGCAAATTCACTATAATGTGTAGTTGTGAATTTATCTTTTCCTATTAGGAATTGGAATGGAATAATGATCCAAAGAA